GACAATTTTATGTTTTCCCTCCACAAGCCACCAACCATACCTCCTCTCTCTCACTCTGCCTTATTTTTCCTCGTTCTCTGGGACATTTTGGCATCTATGTAGAACGTATTTTTTCATCATTCAAAATACATAAATTTAGATTAGCTGTCTGTGATAGTAAATTCAACATTTATTACATGCTCATATGAATTCTTGTCGAGGTCCGAGCGGGCTGAAGTGCTGCAGGAAACGGTGGTGCTGGTGGTAGTAGACGATGATGGTCATTTTGGATGAGAGAGTGCATGTCCGTTTCGTTTTAAGCTGTTTTTTTCCTCTGGAATATGTCTGGACATGTTGCCACAAAATTTGTGTAAAATATCAAGCGAAAAGAAAAAACGAACACACACACATACAGGACTGCAGCGACAGTCGTTAGACGATGCCGGGTAGATGTATTTTGTGACAGAGTAACACAAAAATTACTAACTGATGACATATGAGTCGGGAGTTGATTGCACTAAAAATGGAAATTTATATTTATGGCCAGTAAAGTTCGTACAAAAAACAACAAACCCAACACCGAACCGAAATGGAATGGAATGAAGAGAAAAACCTCAGACCTAAAAACATATCGTATTTTGGTAATGGTCAAGTAGATTTTCGAGTAAATAAAAAACATGTAGCATGTTTGAATAAAATGTTCATCATCATCATCATAGTCTTCATGACCATCATTCATCAAAATGGGAGCCGGAGAGCAAAGCTGTAAATTGTTGGCCTTTAAAACGTTTAAAAATGCGTAAATATTAAGGCAATTTTTGCAACAACAACACCAACATCATCACCGAAATTACTTTACACATGCTTGTGAATGAAAAACGACCCACTAGTAGACTCACAAATAATTTGTTTTCACATTAACGACTGTCGACAAGCAACTTCGTTTAAGTGAATTGCAACGTGATGGCGTTGTGTGCACCCCGAAAAAATAAACTTAGCAGCCCTACTAGCACTTTAAATGTAAATAAGTCTAGGTTCATTATTTGTTTGTTTAAGTAATTTTAGGAACTAAAATTTTTTAAGTGTTGCCAGATTGTAGCAATTTTAACTTAGAGATAGGTAAAACATGAAAAATAATCCTCTACCATTAATAGGAAGTCTATAACCACAAAAGTCCCAAGAATATCTGCTACAATTTAATATAGCTTATAACGGCTAATGCCCAATTTCGCAGGTCCCTTGACTTTATAACCGATTTCGACTGTATTATCTAAAAAATATATACAATGGCAAATTACTTTCAAATGTTGAAAGAGATAAATACGAGGGCAGTTCGGAATGTTATTAGCCTAGCACAAAAACAGAAAAAAGTTAAGTGTTTTGGAAACTTCCATCTCTGTTGTGAACAAATGTAAAATATTTTTATATGAAGGAGTCGCCAGATCAAAACAAAATTTAACATGTGTTCATAACAGAGATGGAAATTTCCAAAACACTTAAATTTTTTCTGTTTATACCGCGCTTTTTGTGCTTTCCGAACTGCCTATGGACTTTTTCTATTTCAAATAAAAATCTGGCAACTATTCCCCTACAATGACTACACAATATTAAATAATAAACAAACAAACAACTAACAAAATTGTTATTTTTTTTCTACAAAAATTCACACGCACCCACAACCCGGTCAACTCGTGAAAACATTGCAATTTGCAAATTAAAAAAACAGCAACAACAACAAAACATGTTGCGTGTATAACCCTCATGAAACAAAAAACAGCAACGACATTATCATCATCTTCATAAACTTTATCAGCAGCTTGTTGGCGAACAAACCCGCGAATAGCCATTCTGCATACTCCAAGCTAACCAATAAAATTCCCCCCAAGCATTTAAATGCAAAGATAAAACAAACAACAAAAATAAAGAGATCTCTGGTCAATCCATAATCCAGCGAAATTTTAATTAAAAACTAAAATTGAGTTTTAAAAACAGAATTGGCGTGGCACAATCACTCGGCATCAACCAAAAACGAAAAAAAAAACAAAACTAAGGTACAACCCAAACCATTACCACCCAAATGAAAAGCAACAAAAAAAGCCCAACAAAAAAAAAAAACAAAAAAACACACCCTGGGAAAGGGCAACGAAACCTTTTGATGTGAAATAAATTAAAAATTGTACTTATTTTTATGATGTCCGGAAAAATCACATTCCCTTTATCCATAAAAACAACAACTACTACTGACTGGCACAACGAAAATCACACAAAAAAATATTAGAAACTTTATCATGTCAACATATTTCACTCATCATCTGCATTTCAGTTGAAATTGCAATTGCCGACAACACACACACGCACAAACATTTTCTACATACAAAATGTAAATCTCTTTCACATTGAACAAAAACGTCCATAAATCTCTAGGCTGAGTAAAAGGGAGAAAAAAATCACAACAACAACAACAAACAATATTCTAAATTTTACATGTATTTTTATAACCAATTTGAATAAATACACTGACAGATTTTTTTGACGATGGATGGGACAGGTCATAATCTCGGTCGTTAGTTGGAAACTAGATAAGATAAATATCCTCAGTCTATGGTGGCGGAACCAGATCCACATATCTTAATATATAAATGAGCTAAGTGATAAGTGAGTGACTAACTGACAGCTCATCGCCCAGACGAAAAGGCTGAAGCTAGAAAGTTGAAATGTTCAGTATGGGTTGTTGTTGGTGTGTAGGCGTGAGATAAGACTGGGTTTTCTGAAATTCGAACTAAAAGAGTACGAAAAGTACTCAATATGGTACCCTTTGTATTAGCAAACGAGAAGAGCTAGAATTCAGGAATGTGGGTCACTGATGGGAAGTTAAAAAGATGTACAAATGGGTTTATGGAAATTCGTCCTATAAGTGTACGAAAAAGTACCAAACTTTACTAAATTTGGTTCGAAAAGCTATATATTAAATATATATATAGGTAAAATCTTGAAATTGTATATAAAACAAAGGTTGGGAAGTGGTTTTGATGTATGGAAATGCTTTAAGAAATTCGAATTTATGTATATGAAAAGTACTAAATGGTACTAAATTTTGTACTATTTGCATTTAGTTGAGCGTATATAGATGGAATTCTGAAAATAGGAATTAAGAATACCATACGAGTACAGGATAACTCTAAAAACTTGTACTTGTGTATATCAAAAGTACTAAATGGTATTAAATTTGGTACAATTTGGCTTTAGGTGAACAGATAGAGCTGGAGTTTTGACATTCGGATTTAAAATAACTGTTGGAGTGTAGATTTGAGGTAGTTTAGAAAATTCGACCTTATGGCAACAAAAAGTACTAAATGGCACCAACTATTTTACAATTTGTTTTTTTTTTTTTTCTTTGTGAACGGATTGGACTGGAATACTGAAATTTGAAATTAAAATTAGTGTTGGAATGTAGGATTGAGACATGAAGGTAGTTTTGAACTTTCGTACTTATATATGTACTAAATGGAACTATACTTGGTACAATTTAGATTTGGAATGGAATTTTAGATTTTGAACGGATAGATTTGAAAACCTGAAATTTGGAATCAAGATTACTTTTGAGTTTTGAGCTTTATAAACAGCTTTGGAAATTGGTATTTATTTGCACGAAAAGTATTAAACGGCACTAAATATAGTATAAATTGGATTCGGGTGAATGGAGAAAGCTGACAACCTAAAATAATTGTTACTGTTGGAGTGTATTATTGAGATATGGAAGTACTTATGTGTACTAAATGGTACTAAATTTGGTACAATTTAAATTTGAGTGAACGGATAGAGATGGAAAACATAAATTTACAACTAAAATTACAGGATTAAGGTACCATTGGAATTTCGTACATATGGATACGCACTAAAAGGTACTAAATATTTATTGGAAAATCGTACTTACGAAAAGTAATAAAAGTACTTAATTTGGTACAACTTGGAATACTTAAATGTGGACTTAAGCTTATTATTGGAGTTCATGACTGAGGTAGTTTTGGCAATTCGTACGTAAATTACCAAATTTTGCACAATTTGGGCTTTGATGAATAGGTAACACTGGAATCCTGAAATATTCAACTAAGATTACTGTCGGATTGTATGATTGAGATAGTTTTGAAATATGGATACAAAAAGTAAATTTGGACTTACGATTACTATTTTAGAACAGGATTGAGCTAGTTTTGGGAATTCGTACTTATGAATACGGAAAGTACTAAATTTCGTACAATTTGAAGTTTGGTGGAAATAAGATTGCTAATAGAGTAGAGCGTAGGATTGATGTAGACTTTCTTGGAAATCTGATCACGTTTGAATCTTTATAATGGAAATAAGAAATAGATTTCGGAAATTAGTGCTTATGTGTATGAAGAGTACTAAATGGTAATAAACTTGATATTAGATGTAGGAATAGATGTGGAATTCTGATTTGTAGTACAGTAAATTATACAGTATATACGATGTCAATTTAAATTATTTTTTTTTTTATTTTGTATTCCCTTTCCCTATACGAAGTAGCGGGTACTTCGCTAATAAAATATAACTCAAGAAATGTATTTTATTGTTATATACTACATATAGGATGGAAAATCCTTGAAGCGGCCTTCTATAGATAGAATATTCTTCAAGAGGTCTCATATAGCCCTAATACGCTACAAGAGATCTTCCATAGATACAAGATTAAAAAAATATTATTTTTTGCATTTGGTATCATATTTAAAGAATATGCTTCATAGTTCGTTTCATAGATCTGAGACCACTCGAAAAATCTGTTACTCATATTAAGATGCCTCATATTATAAATATTTTTTTTCAGTGTATAATATCTTTTTTAATTTAACTTGACAGTACAATTCAACACAGTTGGTTTTCATAGTTATTCATCACACTCGCACATCAGCAGATAGCTAGCGTTCGCTGTTGTTTTTACGCTGCTTTTTTGGTTAGTTTCAATTTTATTTTTTCTATTTTTTGAGTTTTGTTTTACAACTTACCCTCTATGTTACGTTGGCCGTGCAAACAGAATACCGAGGATCTTGGTTTTGCTGCGTCTGGATTATTGTTATTATTGTTGCCAGTTGTTGTTGTTGTTGTGGGGAACGTGTGATTTGTGGCATTAGCCGTGGTCGTCGTTGTAGTAGCTGAACCATAACCATTGTTACGCTCTTTGAAATCACTGAAATTGAAGAACGACAAAATACGTCAGCTCAATAAAATGAAAATAAAACTAAAACAACAAAAAAAAACATAAAATGTCAATTGCAACACTTGTATGATATACATTTAGGCGGATCATCAAAACTAAAAAATGTTGAAGTATACTTTTAGGCACATTCTGATAGATAATATTAATAAAGTTGCAACGAGTCGTTGTTAAACAAATTTGTTTACATTTGTAGATATGTTTTAGTGAACTAAAAATAAAAAGATATTTCAGGGAAAATTTGGAATATGTATCAATTCCTGGACATATTCTAAATTTTCCATGAAACATGCTTATATTTGTAAGTTTTTTTACACAAAATGTTTGGGAATATTTAAAATGCTCTTAAATCTGTAGTCTTCACAACAAAGAAAATATTTGTCAATGTTATGTACTTTCAATTCTTTTTTCAGTTAATTCTGTGGCAAATTATTTCAATTGTGCAAAAAAGAAACCCCCGACCCACTCCCTGCCTTTCGAATGAAAAACTTATTCCAATAAATGTTCATTTGCAGTTAGTTCTCTTCTTTTCTAAAGAATTCTTAAAAAATTGTCGCATTTTCATGTTGATGGTGAAATTAGCACATCACAATTGTAAACAAGTTTTGAAATTTCTTGGCCTCGTTCTCTTAAATTGGCTGGAATGTCTTCGGCACAAGACGCTTGCTACTATGTGTTTTAGCAGACAACCCTATGCTGCCCTGCAGTTGGCAAAAAAAACGACTTCAACAAAATTCCAAAATACCCAAAGTTGTTTGGCATAAAACTTTTGCATTAGTAAGGGAAATGCAATGACGATGTCTAGATGCAAATAGAAATAAAAAATCAAATGAAAGTTGGGAGTTGCACTCTAACCTAGAACTACAACCCCTTCTTGCTGATGGGCCACAGTAGAACTAGGAAAAAATACAAAATTGCAATTTAGTTCCCCTGATAGATGTTATTTGTCAATATGTATTCGTTGTTATCGATTTGCTCTGCTCTTTGAGAGTTTTTTGTACAAAACTTTGGCTTGCAATTTAACATTAATTCAGGACTCTTATATTGACAACAACAACACATAGCTACAACAAATTCCATCTGCTATGTAAATATCTTATTTATAAGCATTTCAGGTGTATTCTCACACCAGTCGTGTATCAAGTTTCATGGCAAAGCGAATAAAATGTGCATGACAACATACAAAATGTTTGTTCTAAATATAACCCCCTCCCCCTAGAAAATCCTTGAATCATTTGAAGTAAGAAAAAAGAACGAAACTAAATCAACCCATTTTACCAGGTTGATTCCCTATGGCTTAAATCGCCAAACCTCTCTACTCTTCACAAATAGAAAAAAAAACGAAGAAGAAAAATAAAATGTCATGGATAAGGTATGTCGTTTTGCTGTCTGCACTGCAGCTTTGTGGCCTTGAACGCTATTTTGTTGAGCCCTCCATGTAGGTAATGCATCATTTGATGCGCCGTGAACACCTCCTAGGTGCCACCGATAACGCCGTTTGCCTTTATATTGGAGAATGGAAAAATACAAGCGGAATATATAGGCATGTGTGTATGTATGTGAATAGAATAGGATGTAATGGTGCAATGGGTTCAAACCCTGGTAAGAACATCAACATATTAAAAGCAAACTTTGCAAGTTTGTGGACCTTCAAAATTTTGCTTTACGATGTACAAAGTGGGGATATTTTTTCGCCCTAATCAGACATATTTAAATTGTAATTTGAAACATTTTTTTATTTAAAATTGTCATTATGAAAATATATATTTTTTGGAAACTTAAATTACTACATTTGAAATTTCAAATTACTAGCATTTGCCCGCTACTTCGTTAGTGGATGTGAGCATTATTTAATCATGTCTACAAATTTTATTTTGTTTTCACTGAGAACTGCATATGTCAGAAGAGCTAATCAACATACACACCAATATTGACCATAATTCAAATTTTAGTACCTCCATATCGTCTCATCGCAGCACAAATCTAGCTATGTACTAAATTTGCTAACATTTATTACCTTTCGTAATATTGTAGTACTTTATTGTACCAAATTTAGTACAGATTAGAACAAATCTTCAAAACCCTTTATATATACCAATCCTACACAATGATCCTACTAACTCCAAATTTCAGGTTCCCACCTCTATCGGTTCACCCAAAATCCAAATTATACCAAATATAGTTCCATTTTATACTTTTCGCACACATAAGTACAGATTTCTAAAACTACTTACATATCTCTACACTCGAAGGGTAATGGTTATTTTAGATTTCAAGATTCTAGCTCCACCCGTTTCTCCAAATTCATATTGTACCAAACATAGTACCGGTTAGTACTTTTCGTATACATGATTACATGTTTTCCAAACCACCTCCTTATATCGACCCGACGACCCTTAATTCGCATTTCAAACTCTATCCGTTCACATTCTACGAAATTGTACCAAATTTAGTACATTTATACAAAAATCCTGATTTAAAATTTATGAGTTCCAGCTCTACCGGACATTTCGGATGCTTATTCAAAAAATCCTGATTTAAAATTTAAGAGTTCTAGGTCTACCGGTTCGCCGAATACAAATGGTATCACATTTAGTATTTTTCGTCTCGTTCTAGTACGAATTTCCAAATTACAAAATAATGAAATACTCTAAAATGTATTAAATTATTCAGGAACCGATCAGTCAAAAAAGACAAAAAAATACTAAAAATATTGCTACACCGGTCCACTCCAATATCTCGTTTCTATATATATATATATATTTCACATCCTTTCTTTCGATTTGTTTGTTTATTGCGGCGCTACTAGCTCGTGTTGGAAAAGGATTTTTATTTGATCTCCTTTCGTATAGAGTTTTGCAGCAGGCACATTTGAATCGTAAATCCTCTAGGTTACAGATTTTAAGACTTTGAACTCTATATACATTCGAAGAAATTGAAAATAAAATAACGAAACCAAGTACAAACATGCATACAAATGTTTGTTTTCGCGAATGTGCTTCTGACATGTTTTATGGTGGATATGAGCATTGGGCTTTGGCAAGAGACAACAGCAGCAACATGAAAGTTAAGGTGAATATATACAAGAAAAAAAAACTAAACATGAAACATCAAGGGAATTTTCTTAGTTTTCATTTAAAAATATCAAGGACATTGATATTTGTTTGTTTGTTTGACAATTATCAATTAAGAAACCTCCCTAGCTTGCTTGTCTTTCATTTAATGTCCTTCAAATTTGAATTTCCACTCACTTGTTTTCCAATAGCTGTCACTTGTTAATCTTTCCAGGGAGATTAGTCTATTTTTCATTAATATTCAGTATAAATTTGCACAAATATAAATTTTGCTCTTTTTCCCATTCAAATTAATAGCCTTAATTCTCTAGCTCGTTTTCTCTACGATCCGTTCTAGATTTCGACAGAAGAAAAAGCCAAATGTGAAGATTATTTTAAAACTACCGTCAGAGAAAAAAAACTTAAGCCGATTTCTAATTAAAGTCATATCCCCAAATAAAAAAACCTCAATACAAAAAACTATACTAGAACCCCCCATATCCATAAGAAATGTTGCAAAGAAGAAAATCCGCAATAAAAAAACTATTTCTATCAAAATGAAAAGTTGACGAAAACTGTTCATTAAAATACAGTTGCAAGCAACGTCTCCCTCAAAAAAACAAACTGCATATTGATGTACAAAAGGCAGTTGCCAAAACCAAACAAAATAAGAATGGCCCAGGCAGCAACTTGACTGCATCAAAGCCGCGCTGATCTGCATGCAAAAACCAAAACGAAACCAAAAAATTCAAATCAACTTTCTTCTTCTAAATACGAAACGACAAATTCCAAAAAAGAAAATAAAAAACAAAAATCCACCAGTCAGTCGACATAATGTCATGTGCACTATGGCCATAAAGAAAGTAAAGAAGACGCTATTTTGGATCTTAACACCAACGATGTTCAACTTTTTATTCCCACCTCCCCTAACCGTTATTTTTTGGAAATACAGCGACTGAATAATTTCGCCTGGGCTCTGCTGTCATTGCTGTTGTGATTAATGTAAAGTTTAAATTAGTTTTTCGTAATGTTTTTCCCTTCAATCCTTCAGTGGAATTTCTTGGTTCATACTATCCGTTCCTTTTTTTTAAGAGCACACGTTCAACATGCATCCACCATGCACATTAACTAACCAGGCAGCAGGCTTACCCTCCCCAACATAAAAAATAACAAAATTAAAATTGCAACCAAATTATTCCATGAAAATGATTAAAATTAACAATCGTGCAATTGTAAATTGCATACGATGGATAGGGAAATTCAGTTCAGTCACAGCGAAACTTTTATACCCTTTATCATGTAGAACACAAAAAGTTACGCGATGAGTAATAGTTGGCAATATGGAAGGAATAAAGTTAAATATCATAAAGTATGCGGTAATACAGATATACGTATTTTTAAAAGAAACCTCACAAAACTGTTTGTATTTCTTATATCCATTATTTTGCCGGGCCGTACAAATTTGGAATCGGTTTAGAAAAATCCGTTCATCTGCCTACCTTTTGGTACTTTCCGCAAAAATGCTTCATGATTTGTAGAAAATTATCACACGCAGTCAAGGGACTGACGCAATTGGTAGCTACATCGGTTAGTCGTTATAAGCTATATCAAATAAAGGGTATAACCTTTTGTGGGGCTTTTGGAAATCATCGTTATAACCTATATATGCCATAGAAGAGTTCGTTAGAGTGGGTTCTGGCCACAGAAGACCCCTATTATTTTGGTAAAGATCAGCTATTCCGTATGTTAACGTTATTGCTGTATGTTTTTCTGACCGCTCTAGAAGCCACAATTATGACCCGAACACAACGAAATCGCTCACCAGGAAGGAAATCTGGCCAAAAATAAGCATGGCTGTTTTGATGAAGATCGGTCAATATTTAGCTGATCAAAAGGCACCCAGAATTTTGTGTGAAAAATTGTAACATTTGCAT